CTCATCCTGGGGCCATCCCAGCACGGTTTTGGGGTCTCAGGGTCCTGCCCTCGCCCGCCCCCCCTCTGGAGCAGGGTTTCTGGGGGGGAGGGAGGTGCTGAGAGGCAGCGGGGGTGTGGGGCCCTGCAGAGCCTTGGCGGGGTGGGGGCAGCCGTGACCCTCCCGCTCAGCGCCGCTCCCTGCCCGCAGCTCACCAGCAGCAGCCTGGTCCTGCAGGAGTGGTTCCGTCTGTCCAGCCAGAAGTCGTCCGTCCCCGACACGGTTGCCAACCACCTCCTGGCCTTTGCCGAGGTCTCACCGGCTCTCCTAGCCCACGTGGTGAACCTGGCAGATGGGAACGGCAACACAGCCCTGCACTACAGCGTCTCCCACTCCAACTTCCACATCGTGCAGCTGCTGCTAGACACGGGTCAGTGCCCCCCACCCACAGAAACATCCCTCTGCCACCACCCCACCCTACCCCGGGTCACGTCCTGGCCACACCAGGCATGGGGAGAAGGTACCGGCAGCAGAGGGGCAGGGAGAGCTGCCCTGGGCTGTGTCTAGGCACAGGTGGGGGGGTTTGGGCAGCCACCCCGGCCCTTGGGGAGCCCAGATTGGATGGGGGCACCCATCAGCAGGTGCATGCCCGCGGGGCTGTGGGACGGCTCACAGGAGCCAGGCGCGTGGTGCGGTCCGTGCCTCCCACGAGCCCCCCTGCTCTGCCCATCCCCACAGAGGTCTGTAACGTGGACCACCAGAACAAAGCTGGGTACACAGCTCTCATGCTGGCAGCGCTGGCGGCCGTGGAGCAGGAGGATGACATGAACGTGGTCAGGAGGCTCTTCAGCATGGGCAACGTCAATGCCAAGGCCAGCCAGGTTGGTGTGGGCTGGGCACTACCACATCCTGACCCTCTCCCCCCCCTGCAAGCAGCTGCCAGGGCCGCACTCAGCTCCTCCCAAAGCTGGAGGGGCCAGCACGTGGGGAGGGGTCATCAGAGACCATGTGGGCACCGAGGATGGCAGCGGTCCCTCGCTTGCCCGCTGGGGTGGCACGGCCGGGGCAGGAGCAGCCTGGCAGCGTCCCTGGCGTTGCAGGCTGGCCAGACAGCGCTGATGCTGGCCGTCAGCCACGGCCGGCAGGAGATGGTGGAAGCCCTGCTTGCCTGCGGAGCCGACGTGAACCTGCAGGACGAGGAGGGCTCGACCGCACTGATGTGTGCCTGCGAGCACGGCCGTGTGGAGACGGTGAAGCTGCTGCTGGCTCAGCCCACCTGCAACATCTCCATCGTGGACAGCGTAAGCCTTTGCCACTTGCCCGCCCCACGTCCTGTCCCCAGACTTCTTCCCAAGCGCTCTCCCTCCCTATTTAGGATGGTAACAACGCCGTCGCCATCGCGCTGGAGGCCGGCCACAGCAACATCGCTGTGCTCCTCTACGCCCACCTCAACGGCACAAAGGCACAGCTGCCCGTGAGTACTGCAGCCCCCCCAGCTCCTGCCACCTGCCCTGTCCCACCCAAGGGCCAAGGGGGTGGCACCGTGCCGCTGGCACAGTGGGCAGGTGGCCCTGCGGGGAGGGCACGGGGCTGTGAGGCAGATGAGGCTCCCCAGGAAGGGTCTGCAGGGCCAAGAGCGGAGCCTCCCAGGTGCCACACGCTCGGGGCTTCTTCAGCAGCGGGGAACGAGCCTGGCCGGCCGTGATCAGGAGTCACTGGAGGGGTCTCTGGTTACATGTCATGGCTCTGCTCTCTCTGCAGCAGGGGACACCACTGACAGCCACGAAGAGCCCTGGGAGCCCAAAGAAACCAAATTAGTGACCTTGGGATCCAGCTAGGGGCCAGCTGGCCGCCATCAGCACCCAGCTGTAATTCATGTCCCCTTGCCTGCCACTCCTTTGTGTGCTGAATCACTCTCTGCAGCTGCAGATGCTTCAATCCTCCTGTCAATAAAGCAGGCACCATCCCTGGGCCTCACTCGCCCTCCACTGCTGGAAGCAGCCTGTGCTCGGCCACCTTGCTCCACCAAGTGACAGAGGAGCCAAGCATCGAGTGACCGCAGGGTGGGGAAGGCTGCGAGTGGAAGCCGGCCCCATCAGCACTGCTCCCCGCCATGAGCTGCACCACCTTGGAGCCCTCTGCAAGTTGTTAACTCACTGAAGAGCAGAAAACAAACCCAGCACCTGATTCCTGCTCTCTCAGCCAAGGCCTGGCAGCTCCGAGAAAGCAGTGGAGGCAAGAGCGGGGCTGCAGGGGGGCGAGTGGAGCCTGTGGTGCCGCAGTGCTCAGCAGAGCCCTGCCCAGTGACAGAAGAGGGGACACGAACCACCTGGTTAATGCTGCCTCAGATTTCAGAGCACTTCCAGACTGAAATACTTGCCCTTCTTTCCTGGCATTTCGTTTCCTGGTTGAAATCTGATTTTTTTTTTCTAGCACATGCACACAAAGCAAAAAAATTATATTAGTCAAAGGATAGAGGTGAAATCACTCAATGATTTGATTTGCTCAATGTGAGCAAAACTTGTGGACACTCAGGGCTGCAGCCAAGCTGACAGAAGGGGGCTAAGAGCCATGAACACATTGAGGGTCTGAGACTGCTCCGCCAGTACCCACAGGGAGCAGGGACCTTCTCCCAGGGGAAAGACAGCAATTGCCTCCTGAATATTTCCCATCTTAAAACAGTCTCAGAGCCGCTGACTGTGAAGGCAGCTGGAGCCCACAACCCACATCCCTCTCTGCCCGCTTTCCTTCCCAAAGGGGAAGGGAGCAGCTGAGAATAACTCCAGGAAAAAAAAAAAAAAAAGAGCAGCAGGAAGAGCTCAGAGAGCACCTAGGGCCTGTGGAGATGGACACGTATGTCAGATGTGTGTGTGAGTGTGAGTGGGCGCGCTAGGCAGGGTGGGAACAGAGAAGGTAAGGACTGAGGACTGGAAAGAAAATAAAAGGCTTTTGCATGTGAAGCCAGCTCCATGCCGAATACTTCACAGAGGTAACGTGTGTCACAGCCCGTTTCTGCTCCTCGCCCCCCTCCCCAGGCCTGGTCTGAGCCACACTGCAAGCTGGGAAATGCTCCCCAAGAAACTTGTTCTGGGCACCACGCTGCTGCGCTCGCAGTGGGCCTGCTGCAGCTTTGCACTGAAGTTAATACACGACGCTCACAGCCACTCTAGTACGCTACTCCGTATGTACCTCGTACTCACTGCTTTGGTCTCACAGGTTTGTTTACTGGTATTTTAATACTGATGCTTATTTTAAGATATAAATAAAATTTAAAGTAAAATTATTTTGAAATATTACAGTTGACCATCAGCAGTCTCCTGCCTCCTTGTCTGGCTCAAGATAAAACCCCCAGAACAGCTTCAGCAGAGGGACAGCCCGGCACAGCCCTCGCCCTGAGCAGGTGTTTGCACGTTTCCATTCACGCCCTGCAAGTTTATGAACTGACTGCTGGTTTTCTTCCAGCTGAACTGGCCCAGTCGGGTACCACAGCGTCTTCTGGCATGTTTTGCTTCGCAGGACCAAGCGGATGCCGGGACCAGACATAGCCCTTCGCTGCCCTTGGTTCACCCCGTGCTCCGATACCGAGCTGCATTATTAAAGGGCCATCGGCAGACTGAGAGTGGGGATGTGAAGTCAACCTCCCTCCTCACATGGCCGAGGGCCACGCTGACCCCACGGGGATATTCGGGAAGGGCTACAGCTGTTCTGAGTCACCCCCACTACAAGTTTATCTCTGGCCACCAACTCACAGCCGATGCCTCCTGTCTCGGTCACTCAGCACAGCCGGGGCTGGCAGCCACCAGAGCAAACGCTCCCTGGTCACCGCTAAAGCTGTGCGGGGAACAAAGCAGAGGAATAAATTCTGAAGTGGGCTTCTTGAACTTGCTAGTTCCCAAGAGCTCTGCTGTGTCACACAAATCAGGGGAGTGTGGACTCACCTGATGCTGTGGAACAAACGCCACCAAATAATCAAGAACTAGATAAAGCAACAGCATGAGTCCATATTGACAAGGGCTTTCTCCAGAGCACAAAATCACCTCAGGCCACCCATGAGCTGAGCAGGGCACAACCGACACCCACAGGATAAAAAAACCACCAACACTCAACACAAGACCTAACAGCAATCCTCACTATCTGCCTAAATTCAGCAATCTGAACATCTATTCCAGAAGGGCTCTCAGCTTTAAGATACTCAAACCCTCAATCCCACCTGCCACTAAGGTGCCTTAATCAAGTGCAGGACATCAGAGGCCACAGGATCAGGAGCTGGAGACCCAGCTCGGTTCAATCACACCACAAACCACTATCACTCTGTTACCAGGTGGAAATACCAGTACTTAAAAAACAGTCCTTGAACAGTGACAGTCTTCAGGTTCATTCCTTATCCTTTCAGCCTTACTTTTTATAATAACCAAACCCAAGAAATATTTCTACCTGGCTGTATGGTGGAAGGGAAAGCTGGGGAAGAAAATAAGTGAAACTGATGTACTAACTCCTGTAAGGGGAGAGAGACAAGCACTCACTCTCTGTGGGTGACTGCCAGGGAAGACAGCAAGTAGGTGTATTTATAGCAGCATTTATGAAATATCTTACTGGGGACTGAAAGACAGAAGCAGCAGGCTGTTGCTTTGCAAGCTGGTACAAAGATTGACTTTCAAATTGTAATTAAATTCTACAAAAGTTCAGGAAGTTTAGTAGCACCACTCTACTGACTACATACAGAAAAATGCTTACCAGAAGGGTCGGGATAAGGTTGCTGTAATCAAAACGGAATCACTTCTGTGGTGACAGGTTAATAAAAACGCAGGAACACAGGCATATTATAAAGGCATTATGTGCATCCCCAGTAATAAGCCGGGTGGTGTTTTGTCCCTCGGCTGAACCCAACAAGGAAAGGCAAATACGTTAAGTACTGAGAAAGAACAGATCGCTCACACATTCAGGGAGACCCAGGCGAGGGACTACTAGAAAAACCCTTTATTGCAGGAACACACCGCCACGCTCCTCCCCACCCGCAGCCGATGTCTGGCCGAGGGGACGCCGCGCGGCTCCACCGCCTGGCCCAGAGCAGCGGGGGCCGCGCCGGT